TTGGAGGGAAGCCCCACGCATTCTGCTTCTGCCCGGGCTCTGCTGGGGCAAGGGCCTTCAGAGAAGGGGCAGACCAGCTGCCTGGGGCTTGCCAAGCAGCGCAGGGCCTGCCTTCTTTCCCTTGCAAAAGGCTGGCTGAGAAGCTCTGAGCCGCCAGCCTTCATTAGATCAAGGCGAGCCTCCCTGCGGCTGCCGAGAGTCCTGGAAACTTGATTGGGGGCTGGAGGGTGGGAGGGAGTCCCGAGTGCGAGTGCTTGAGTGGACCGCTAGGCAGGGTCTGTCTCAAAGGCTCGCACGGCCTTGGGAGGCAGGGATCTGCAGGCTTTGGTGCCTTGGCAAGGGAATCAGGATGGCCTCAACACTACGGGAATCCCCTGGTTTTTATGTTCTAGGCAGTCTTGTGGAGGTGATGGGTTTCCGCTGTGGTGCGAGACGTGCCCTCCCATCCACACCTCGTGCCCCGGAGCAGGCGGGCAGGCGGGCTTCCCCCTCTCTGGTCCACGATCTTGATGCAGCAGACAGCTGCGGGTCAGGTTCTACCATCGCCCTTCAGCTTCCCCGTCCCTTTCCTTGCGGAAACTTGAATAGAAAGAACTCCCCCTCCGGGCTGAGAATGTTGGGGGGGTTCAGGAGGGAAAGGAGGGTAGCGAGGAAGGGAAAAACGAGCCTCGATGCCCTGCCCCAAACAGCTGCTTCGTGCAGGGGCTTGTCCTCTTGCCCTCTGAGAGCTCGGAGACAGTGACCCTCCTGGGCCCCCTCCCCGAAAAGTGAAATCCCAGTGCGGAAGGTTTGCTGGGCTGAGGGACCCTTGATAGTCTGCGTTGCTGGACGGATTACATTTGCAGCCAACAGCAGAAAGAAAAGCCCCATGGCTGATCCAGGGCTAGGCCAGGAAATCTTCAGGCTCTGGGCAGGACTGTGTTTTGTCTAGACCAGGATTTAAGGTGCGCCATTGGGTCACGTCTGTGCCAAAAATCTGCAGCATCACGTCACCCTTTTAATGGAAGCGCAGCTACTAGTGCTGGAGCCCAAGTGCTCCGTCGCTTCGGGAGGGGCCTTGTTAAGGCAGAGCAGGGACAAAGGTGCCCTTCAGCGTCTCTCCTGCCGGTGCTCAAAACGGGGGCAGCATGAATGCCCCCTGGACAGGTCTTGCTGGCATCCCTCTGGGCCATGACTTTAGCAGAGAGGAGAGGAGAGGAGAGGAGAGGAGAGGAGAGGAGAGAGCCACGCGGCAGGGAGTGGGGAGGCCGGCAGCTCGGCTGGCACAGGCTTTTAAGGGCACCAAATGGATCTGGGCAGGCCTCAGGTCCACCAAGGAGCACTGCGTGGCCAAACCTTGTGCAAACAAGTTGAGGGTCTTTTGAAAGTGGCACCAGCCCCCTCCCCTGCGTGAATGATCTGACTGAAAAGTCACACGACTACCCATCTGGGCTGCGAAGAGGGCGAGAGTCATAGTTTCATACCTCAATTACGCACGGGTGTGTGTGTGTGTGTGTGAATGTGTGTGTATGTGCACGCCAGGTTGCTCAATCACGCATGGCATGTTATTTGGGAGGGGGGAGGGCTAAGCAAACAGAGGGTAGGTGTCTTCAAGTGCTCTTCCCCGCGGTGCTTCTCCTGCCAAACCACACAGACACACAGGAAGAGCACTCAGGCAGAGGGGTTGAGCCAAGGGGGCCTGGCAGGATTTAGGGGTGGGGTTGCCAGGATGCTTGTGCTGGGAAACAAGAGGGGACGGGCCACAATTTCAGCTTTATCCCCACACCTTTTTGGGGGGGAAGAAGCCCTGCAAGGCCCAGCGAGAGGCCCTGAGCAGCGCCAACTCCACAAATATTGGAGCCAATCCAAAGAGGCCGAAAATGATTGACCCGCCCTGCAGGACTTTCCCTTTTCCGTTCTCCAGCGTCAGGCGCTCATCTTCTTTACATCCCCTCTCGCACGGCCTTCCCTCCCTTGGTGTCTTTTGGGGTTTGGGACTGCAGCACCTCCCACGGCTGTTGGTCAATCGCGAGGCCACCAGACCGGGCACCCGGGAGTCTTTCTTGCGAAATTGACCAGCGCAACTGACCAGGCCCTCTTGGGCCAGTTACAGCCCAAGAGG